AGGATAAAAAAACAGCTCCTGACCTTGGGAAAAATCCCATGTCCTTATGTTTAAAATAAGAGTTGGACTGAAAGCCGTCTAGACTCCTATGCAGTTCTAATACTTTATATGCATATCTGATGCTTGGCAGGTATTTCTTGAATATTATGACTCATGTGTTGGCCAGTGTGAATGGAATAAACCGGAAAAACGAAATCAATCTCTGGGCCATTAAATAAAAATTAAGATTCCTTTCCCTACCCTCACATTTCAGCCACAACCTAGTGAGTTGGAATGGCGATTAAATATATGAATTTTATGCTTCAATGAAAAAAGGTTTCTCTTGTTTTCTCAAAAATTTAAGGAATTTTCTACACGTAATTATCAGAAATTGGATGTATTGATTGCCAGACTGCCATTTCTGAGTGGATGGTTGAACATTAGTATAAATAAAAATTATGTTTAGAAACTTTTTAATAAGTTGGTCACCAACAGAGTAAACAACCAGTATCCTTTATGTTACAAGTAATTGAATTCAGAAGGTTCTCATTTGACTAGCTCCATTTTAAATGAAAAACCAATTATTTTGCTTGATGTTTTTTTGTTTTGTTTTTTAAATATAACACAGGTCTGTGAAATTAAGTCAGAAAACAATATAGTGTAGTAGGCTATTTTTGAATAGTAACACTGAAAACACTATATTGGAGAAATCAAGACTTACATTTTTTTTCAGTAGGTGTTTTACATAGGGCCATATGTGATAAGAAGTGATTTTTTTAAAAATCTGTTTTTTCGAGTTAATTTTAGTCACAACCACAATTTGCTCTATATTTCCTTAAAACTACTATATGTAGCAATGAAATGAATTGCCCCTTCTTATAATTATCTATTTAAAACAGCATGTTATGCAATACTGTCATATTTTTAAAAATGTTCAGCGTATTAAAAGACATTTCCAAATAGCTGTAGCAAACCCCATTCATTCATTCATTCATGCATTCAGCTGTTCACCAAACATTCCCTGTGGGCTGCCAAGTGCTAGATGCTGCTTCAGGCACTGGAGATGGAGATGGGAGAGGAAGGCACCAGAAAGGTAACTTCTGTTCTCATGAGGCTCACATCTAAGGGGTTGGAAAGACAATAAACATACAAGGAAATGAATAGGTGATCTAACAAATGCTAAGTAGAAAATACAGTAAGACCAAGGGACATAGGGTGATGGCACATTTTATATTGATGTGTCAAAATAGCCATTCTGGTGAGGTGCCATTGAGCAGACACCCACCCACATGAAGTGAGGGAAGAGCCAGTGAGGGAAGAGTTTCAGGCAGCAAGAACAAAAACCAAAATGTCTAAAACATTCTAATAAGTGATTTTAAAAAATCACTTTTTGCTGAAACCAGTTTGGCTTAGTGGATAGAGCATTGGCCTGTGGACTGAAAGGTCCCAGGTTTGATTCCGGTCAAGGGCATGTATAATACTTTGGTTGCGGGCACATCTCCAGTAGGGGGTGTGCAAGAGGCAGCTGATTGATGATTCTCTCTCATCGATGTTTCTAACTCTCTATCCCTCTCTCTTCCTCTCTGTAAAAAAAAAGTCAATAAAAAATATTTTTATAAAATCACTTTTTATCACATATGGCCCTATATAAAACACCTACCGAAAAAAAATGTAAGTCGTGATTTCTCCAATATAGAGTGTTTTCAGTGTTACTATTCAAGTGTTCTATTAAGCTTCTCTATCAATCCAGGTCCTTCAGGGGAAAGGCCTGGGAGATAAGGGCGGGGCTTCGGCGTACCCGGCATCATCCTACAGCCTGGGACTGGGCAAGCAGAGGAGTCCCTGAGCCACATTAAGTGCACTTCCCACCAAGCAGCTGCCCTGGTGTGCCCACTGCACTGTCACTGCCGAGGAGCTCCGGTATAGGGGGGCAGAGTGGGGCGGGAGACAGGGCTGAGGACAGACATAGGGATGAATCTCCCTGTCAGCCCCTGATGTCCCAGAACCCAGTCAAGCCCCCAAAAAAGGGGCATATCGAATCCTAGTGGCCTGAACAGAAGAATTCCACTTGCCATTTCACACTAAATGCTGCTTTGTTTTGTTTCAGTGGTACGGTGAGGATGTACATGTAAGAACAACGATCATATTTCATGCTATTTCAGACATCAACTCCCCACCTACACCCTACATGCCCTACATGGTGTTGAGCAGGTTAGATTCTTAATAAAGATATTTGATTAACCAAAGGCCATGCGTGCAAAATTATTTGCAAGTTAAAGTTTTTAATGGGAAATGTTTCCTTGTCAGAATACTCTGGGTGCGGTATGGAATCACTATTTGGATCTAATATTTTCATTTGCAACTCTACACACTCATCCCTACACATACAAAAACTGACTTAAAAGGAAAAACACATGACAAAGGAGGAGATATATTAAAAGACTTTATTCACAATAGAGAAATTTTACAAATATAGTTTTTAAAAATTATGTGTCAATCTATTACGTTTCCCATAACATTAAAGATTTATATAAAGTTGGAAATGACAGAATGGATTTATGCACAAATCAAAAACAATCATTGTAAGGATGGATAACACATATGAAGGAATTATGTCAAACATCGAGTCCTGAAAATTGCCATACAATTTTTATGTGTATTAATTGCATGAAGTATACCAAAAACACATACAGAGAATTAAGTGCTATTTTCATTATTTGCCTTTTAGGTGAAATTGCTGAAAATGAATGAAAGATGTGTCTACCTAAAGACATCAGTTATTTAAAATAATTAACACAAAATATAACTTTAATTAAATTACATCACTGTATTATTAATCTCTTGCTTACATTTTTGTTGTTTTGGGACTTAAGTTAAAAAAAAAATCGAAGTTCTATAATTGAAAAAACATTATTCTTGCCATTGGCAGAACAATGTCTAGTGCAATCTTTTGGCCTACTTATACCAGGATACAGAAGGGTACATTATAATGCAGGGTGTATATAAGCCTGATATTAAAATCCTACCTGCTGTAGCAATACATACCAGCTCTGTGCTCTTTCAAATCAAATTTAAAAGCAAAGAAAAGAAGATAACTTAAATTGTTAGCCCAAGGATGCTTACATAAAAATTATAATCTAAATACATATGGCCTTTTTTTTTTGTGCAATAATCTTTTATATTTTGCCTTTATGGTCTGGGACAAAAGAACTCTCACTACCCATTCATTTCATAAGGTGAGCTGACATATGAGTGGAAGATATTCTGGGTTTCAAAACACATTAACTTGGCAATAATGACTTATAAAGGATGTCCTTAATTTACTAACTTTATTAATTTATTCTTTGTATACCAATGTACAATATGGGGGGAAAGAGCAGGTTATACAAGGTGGTCCTTTCAGACAAAAGAAATATTTTGAAACACTTTTAAAAGCTGAAAGAGCTAAACCAATTAGGTCTATAGAGATCCAAGAAGATAACTGTCTTAAAAAATATTAGGTTGAGCCATATGAAATGGTTGATATTGGATAATTTTTAAACTACAAATGCAGCAACTTCATATGCTTCAGCTTAATCCACGGGGCTGTACTGATCCATTTGACCACTGTAGGTGGAGAATGCAGGTGGTTCAAGTCTTTGTACCTCAGAATATACATCCCCATACTAGCTCTTTGGGTCACATATATAATATAACCCAATATGATGAGAAAACACAAGATATCACCAAATCTATTCTTGGGAAAGCACTCCTACCTCAGCACAATGTTTTGAAGAACCATATCATTATTTTGATCTGCTATCGGATCGTGGGGGATTGGGAGCATCCATTCCTACATATTCTAAGCTGGGACATTTATATCGAATTTAACCAGGACTATATTCTTATTTGACCTAAAAGTTTATTAGATTTTCCTCAATTGACCACCGAGGAATAAATACACTGTTAAAGCTTCTTTCAGAGTTAATTCTGCTTTCATGAATGAAATAATTTACTACATTTGAGAAAGGGCCCTTGTCAAATCCAAAAAATCTGATTCAGATGTAATGTTTTCTTTACTTCAAGGAAAAAAAAAAAGATGAAATGCAAACGAAAAGATCATTTGAAATATTCATCCTCTCTTTAGAGATACCCGATTCTTTGTATGTTCAGTAAAAAGCGAAAGCTAACACACTAAGAGTGATACTATTTCCCTTTAAAAAACATAATTGAGCAATAGCAGAGATCTGCCAAAGTTGCAAACTCACTTCGCTGTGTGGTGGGGAATGGAAGAAATTAACCAGCACGTGATCCAGAAATGACACAGGACATTTCAAGTAAAATTTGAGAACTAATTCACAAATTAGGAAACACTAACATAATTCACCAACAGAAATATACTGCGGTTCCAGTAAAATGAGGTCAACACGAGATGATCTTTTTGGAATGGCATTCTATTTTGAAATAAACTGTAGGTAAAGTATTTTAGAAGACATTCTATCAAATAATGATAGACCCGCATAAGGAGGCTGTCACAGTTATAAGATCTGTCTCTGGTGGATAGACAAACCATATTCACATGAAATTAAAAAGGAAAAAGCTTTTTTTTAATATTTAATTTATTATTATGGCTTTTTGCAACATGGCAAAACATTACAGCTTAAAGCAGACACTATCTCCTCATAGAGGAGGGAAAAGTTTTGCAGTCAAATCAAAACTGTAATTAAGAGGTCACTGGTATACCATTTTATCCAGTCTAATAAAAATGATACTACACCTTCATGAACTCCAGAGATAACAGATTACATAAAGTAAGAAAATCTGTGATCTACTGACTAAATACTAAAGGATACGATAAGGAATTTGCGTCCCATTTAAGCCTATGATAAAAAAACATAAAAGACTGCAAAACCAATTTTAGAACTTAGAATAATCACAGACCTACTAATAAAATTCATCATGGGCCTGGGACTATTAGAAGAGGGACTATTAAGGAATGCAGTGATGGGAATGAGCAGAGGAAAATGTGAAATGTCTTGTCTTTATCCATTGACTTCCACTTCTTTTTCATTGGTGCAGAGCTTAGGGAGGACATGGGCCTCAGTGTTGAAGATCCAATGTTCCAACGGAAGTAGATCGTCGTCAGAAAATATTAAGTACAAATATCTAGAGGGAGAAACATGAGTGTATGAAGCAGTAAAACCACAGAGGCACCGCCCAAACCCACATCAGTGACTCCATTCATCTGAGGGAGAACTAGGGACAACAGTCAAGAACAGCAAAGCGCTGAGGGAATATACACAGTAATGCAGAGTCAAGAAGCTACTCTGGGCTTTGAGCCTAGAGTACCAGAACAGTGAAAGCAGGCCCGAGCCAGTAAACTCCCACGATGACTGCAAACAAACCTGCAATCATCACCATGCATGTAGGATAGCATTCAGAGGCAGCCATGCGTGCTCGTGTCTGAACGTGCTCACGATAAAGACACGGACAGAGGTCTGCCCAGCTCCCTCGACCACAGACTTGCAGATGATTTTTACTCACTTTAGTGTCTCCGCCAGGAAGAAGCTCTGCTGCACGTCATCATAGCTGTCATGATTGAGGTAAACATCCCTGAGGCCCGAGTAACCCCCGCTCACCCTGCAGTGATTCTCCAGAGCCTGAATGACCAAGAGGATGGGAAAAAATGGTCGCAAATCAGTTAACCGACTGTCACTAATTTTTATTACTAGATTGTCAGATTAAAATAAAACGTGGATTCAAATTGAATTGCTAGATTAGAACAGCTTTAGTTGAAATTAAAAAAAACACACACAAAAACCCTATCCAATATAAATACAAATAAAGCATGAAAAGTTGAAGGGCATATGGACAATATATCTTCTCATCCAATTGAAAACTGAGTTTTGGAATAAATTTTCAGTCATATTTACCATTTCCTACTGTAATCTAGAGCAGGGTTCATCAAATGATGGACTACAGGTTAATCCTGTCTGCTGTCTGTTTTGGTAAATAAAGGAGCCACAGCTATGAATGTCTGTGGCTATTGCTTCACTATAATGACAGTTGAGTAGTTGCGTATGGCCCCCAAACCTAATTCTCTCCAGCTTTTACAGAAAACATTGGCTGACCCCTGGTCTAGAAAGATTACTCATATTAATTAGGGATTAGAAACCACTGGTGAAAAAAAAATGTGCCAGACCAAAAACAGCTGCTACTATAAGCAGAACATCTTATTGCTTAAAATTCCATTGCAGAGTATGAATTAGTGTTACTGGTGAAAGAGATAAAAGTGGAAAATGGAAAGCAGTGGGAAAGATGTGGTTGGCATCTATTTCTAAAACACATTTTTCTTTTCTTTGGTCTGGGATGGAAGAAGATGGGACAAATCCACTGGTAATCATGTAGGGAGAAGGGACCTACATTCCTGCAGCTGTCTGGCTACAATGAGTATTTGGATAAGACATGGGATGGGCAGGGTTGGAAAGAAAATTTAGGGAACAACCGAAAATAACTTGCCTTTTACATTGTCTACTGCCATGAAGTTGACTAGTCTTTTCTTTAAAATTAATTTTTATTTAAAAATATATATATATTTTATTGATTTTTTACAGAGAGGAAGGATAGAGAATTAGAAACATCGATGAGAGAGGAACATCGATCAACTACCTCCTGCACACCACCTACTGGGGATGTGCCTGCAACCCCTTGAGGTACATGCCCTTGACCAGAATCGAACCTGGGACCCTTCAGTCTGCAAGCTGACACTCTATCCACTGAGCTAAACCGGTTTCGGCAAGTTGACTAGTCTTTGTATTTTGAAATCCCATTGGCTGCTTTGTTAGTTGCCAGGCTTAGTCAGCTCTAAAAAAGTTATTTCCTACTCACCACATTCTATTACTCTTATCAACTATACAGTCACATCGAAATTGCCATATGAAATCTGGTTCTAATTCATAGGATGTGGACAAAAAAAAAAAAAACTATAAGACTATGAAACCTAATATTTATAATGAAATAAAGGAAATATAGAACACATTAACAAGGTAAAGTTCTTAGATTCTCATGTCATTTTAAATTTATTTTTCAGTTTTCTCTTATAAAACATAACCTTGCCCCTCTTTTTTATGTATATAATTATTCTCCATTTTTCTCCCATTCAGCCAAACTAGCAAAAAAAGATGGAGAACACAGGCCTTGCCATATTAGTTGAGAAAGATCGTTATTGGCTAGAAAAATCTTTGGGAGGAAAACAGGGCTCTCAGAATGCAGAGCCCAGAAAGGAGGGGAGAGAGAAGGTGAGTCCCGTGAGCAGGGATGTGGCGCTGAGGGCTTGGCCCCCTCTGCAGATGCTGGCAATGAAGAAACTGCTTTGGCACACCAGGGCTGGAGGGCGGCAGGCACAGAGCCCGGGGTCACGAGAAGCATTTAATTACCAGCTGAAGAAACTCTAACTGGCAGGCTCCATGCATAAAGAAAATGTCTCATGATCTTGTGCTTTTTAAAAGCCCCCGGGAAAATAAGACTGACTTCAAAACTAAAACGCTTTGATTATATTCTCAGTGGCACACAATGAACCAAGAGTGCGAAAGCCCACAGACAGGGACTTTCGGGTCCAATTATTATTTTTTCCTTCCTTCCTTTCTTGATCAATGTTCCTTTTGATAAAAAGTTAAATACCAGATATAATGGAGGTTAAAGATTGTTTGTAAAAAAAAAAAAAAAAAAAGATGGAGATTTGGAAGAAATGAGTCAGTTCATTATTATGGAACATAATGAAATCTTATTTCCTGACACTTCCCTAAAAAAGTAATTGAACCACTAAGCTTTTTCGTGGTTTTTCTCAGGAAGTTCTTCCGCGATCAGCTAATGAGAGTGTCAGGCCGCTCTCCCTCCCGTAGAAATTTCTATAAGCGCCATCATTTTTTGCTTTGGGGCTGGCAATGTCCAAAGCATTTCCTCTTTTCAGTTCACCCCAGTTGTCCTTTCTCTCCCACAGTCCTCGTGTGGAGAGCCGTAGTCGTTAGGAACACAACGTAGAGTTTTAGAGGAGGGAGTCGTGTCCCAGCGCTGGACTCGCTAACTGTGTGTGGCCTCAGAGGTTGCTGGACCCAGGCAGTGTTGCTGTGGTCCACGTGAGGTTGTTGTGACAATAAAACAAGATGAAGACACAGTCGGCACAATACAGGCCCTGTTAGAGGTCCAGAGAGGCCTAGATTCTTTTATTTAATTTTTTTAGGTTTTTGGTAAATAAATTTTAAAAAATGCTAAAGATGCATTTTATTTTATTTTTAATATATTTTATTGATTTTTACAGAGAGGAAGGGAGAGGAAGAGAGAGTTAGAAACATTGATGAGAGTGAAACATCAATCAGCTGCCTCCTGCACTCCCCGCCCCCCACTGGGGATGTGCTCGCAATCAAAGTACATGCCCTTGACTGGAATCGAACCTGGATCCTTGAGTCCACAGGCCGATGCTCTATCCATTGAGCCAAACTGGTTAGGGCTAAAGATGCATTTTAAATAAAAAGAAAAACCTTCATGTCAAGTCTAAATTTTAAGACTTTAAATATGTAAATCCAGGTACAAGCAGCTTTCCTGGGCCCCATAACAGGCTCTGATTTTACAGAATCTCAACAGTGGAAGGATGTATCTACTCGGCAGAATCTGATCAGAGCATCATTTCACTGCAGTCTGTTCTTTGGATCCAGTCTCGGCATAGGGACCGCCTCCGTTTTAGTAAATGCTTACATTACTTATTAATGACCATAAGTGAATGGGACTTGCTAATAGCAAAGAAAAGAAGGCTAGGAGAATGTTTACACTGACTGGAGCTCTAAACAAAAGAAGGAACACAAACCTGATCCCAAGTGACTGACCCTTTTTAGGGGGAGAAGGTAAGAGAATAGTGGGCAGCATGAGTTCAGTCCTAAGCTGAAAGCCTCACTGTGAGAACTGAGAAGCCTTGTCTTACCTACCAGGTTAGAGAAGCAGCTGTCCAATGGAGATGACTCCAAGAGTGGACCCCAGAGAACAATGCTAATAAGAAGGCCAACTCGTGGAGTTTGGTCTGAGAACCAGGCAAAACAGACATTTCAAAGAGTTTGAAAACAGGCATGAAGCCTGGGCAGGCAGAAGCAGGAACTGGGAAGACAAATCATTCTCTGAGAGCCAAAATGTTCATGTGTAAAAGGTTGGATTCAGGGGACAAGAGAGAAATGTTTGTGCAAATAAAGAAATGAACATTCCTACATAAGGCTTTTCCACAACTCTAGCCCAGTGGAGACATGATATGATGTACACATACCTACATTTATAGACATTATATAGACATTATATATTCCACATTTACCTACACATATATGAATGTATGTGTATAACTTATCGTAAGAGCTTTATCAGAATATTCATTATGTATGTTTAATTAGGAGGAACTTAATATAGTTCTTCATGACATTTTTGAGAAAAAACAGGTAGGTGGTTTTCCTGTTAGGACAGTGCCCTGGTGCTTGAACACCTGTGACTAATGGGTCGCTTGTAACCTGTAGAGGGGTTTCCAGGGTTGTACACAGGCCTCTATACCTTCCTATCCTGCTTCAGACATGGAGAGCAGGTTTAACAAGTGCACCACTGAAAGAAGGCTGGGAAGGGGGTGCTTGTTAGAGATAGGACGTAAGTATGGGTGAAAATAAGCCCATCATAAAGGAGACGACTCAACAGTCGTCAATGTACTCATTAACATCATCGGCCACAGTTCCCATGTAAGTGAGGGGTTTTCTAAATCTATTAAAGGGACAAGTTGGACCACAGGCTGTAGGAATTAGCCCTCAGGAGAGCAGTTTCTGAGTCACAGTGCTCAGACCTGAAAGAACATAGCTGGGAACCATGTCAGGAGAAGGTGGAGGAAAAGGGGTGAGTGAGGGAGGAACAGCTGGCAGAAGGTGCGATCTTCAGATAACTGAGGAGCTGAATTGTACAAAAGAGAGGTTATTTTTTTCTAAAACACAGAACTGTGAATTCTGGTTTTTAAAGGAGTAACTGCCTAATACTTCTGGCCAGTAAAAAATGACATGAACCATGTTATTAGTAGCATATTCCTTTTTGCTACAAAGTCCTTGAATTGATGAGGAATAGCCATCTGGCAAAGACCGGCACAGGAGCCTTTCCTTTGCGTGGAATCTGGACTAGGTAATTTTTTAAGGGCCCCTATGTTTTAGTTTGGGTTTCCCTAAAAACGGAGCATGAGTCACAGGTTGGATGCAGGAAATTGGGGAGAGATGAAATCAGGAAGTGGGGAGAGGGAGACAGGGAAGTGAGAGGAGCCAGGGAAACATACTGTGTGCAACCAGGCCTCCCTCCCGCCTACCCCTCTGGGGAACCACGCAGAACACATCTCAGGAGAATTCATGGAAGAAGAAAGACTGGGAAAGCCGCCAGCCCACTCCAGTATCTCACTGGGAGGACCAGGAACTCTCCCCCACTTCCTAGACCAGGGCCAGCTGCCTGTGGAGAAACTCTGAGTCCGAACAGTCACGGGCACTTGGGGCATCACCCACCACAGCCTCAACACCAACACAGGGGTCCGAGGGCAAGCGCCAGTGAACTAAGTGTTGCCGACTAATGATGTCTGTGCTTTAGAAGAGGCAAGAACCCCCCAGCACTCCTCTCTCCCCACTGCATCTCAAGTCCCAGCAACATTTACCAGGGGCAAAAACAGGAAGATCCCTGCATTGGGACACGATGAAACAATTTCACATCCTATCCTCCATTAAGAGGTGGCAATAGGCAAAATCCGTAACCCCTCACATCAACCTTCTTACTTCAACAAACTCCCCCAAAGAACAAGCAAATCAAAGCTTCTTTTTGAGCTGAAACCGGTGTGGCTCAGTGGATAGAGCGTCGGCCTGCGGACCGAGAGGTCCCAGGTTCGATTCCAGTCAAGGGATGTATCTTGGTTGCGGGCACATCCCCAATGGGGGATGTGCAGAAGGCAGCTGGTTGATGTTCCTCTCTCATCGATGTTTCTAGCTCTCTATCCCTCTCCCTTCCTCTCTGTAAATAATCAATAATATATATATATTTTAAAAGCTTCTTTTTGAGCAAATCCCTGTCATACAATTTTCACATTTTAACATCTCCAAAATTGTCATGACACAATTTAATTGGTAGGGCTATACTTTCTTAGTGGTACATAAAAAAATGGTGTTTTAGACTTGATGAAAAACATCATTTCTGCTATTTTTAATTTAAATTGATATTTCCAAAATGAGCACTAGCCTTAATTCCTTTGCTGGCTTATTGAAGACCAAAATAATTCCCTATCAACAAAGCTTAGATGAAATGTAATTTAAATACATTTTTCAGAGAAAATATATCTAAAGAAATTGAAATTACCACTGACTAACTATAATTAAAAACTGTAAAAAAATATTTAAAAAGGCCCAAAGAATCGCTATGAGTGATGACTAGTGATAAGACACACACTAAATGAGCAGGGTAATAAGTGAGATTTACCAACGGCTTCCTGAGATATTAAATTTTAGACAAAGGCAATATTCGTCATAGATTTCTTGAGAGAAGTTTCTCCTAATGGGCTGTTTTAAAGATAGCGAACTTTCTAAGGAAGAGTGTGGGGAATGAGAAAGCGTAATGAAAGCCTTTGCTTGTTCTCATCCCCTGAATTTCCTCCCACTCGTTTCAGAAGAACACCTCTGAAAATTAGACAACATTTGATGCACACCCTGTAGGGTGCCTCTGCTGGCATCCACACACAACAGTTTAGTTTGGAAAGATGACATGCCATATTCCAAGGAAGAGGCCCAAGAGATGACAAAGAATTAAATCAGTACACTGGGCAGGTGGAAAGCTTATCGACATTCAGAGAAACCTGAACTTGCAGAAAGTAGTTCTTCCACAGGTTATTTATAAAACTAAGTAGCTAATTTACACTAAGTAAAAATAGGTACTGTATTATCATTTCAATGTCCAAAGACTAATAGAGAACACACACACACACACACACACACACACACACACACACACACACACACAGTGTTTCTTGGAACAGACAGCAGGCAAGGGATGACTATCACCAAGATGCCTATCACTCTGTGTGGAGTTAAGTGGTCATCACTTCTAGTCGTGGGAACTTAATTTTATAATATGCCTTTCTAGATATCACCTTCAATCTCAAAATCTCTCTCCCTCTCTCTCTCTCTCTCTCTCTCTTATATATATATATATATATATATATATATATATTAAGCAGAGCAAAAAAGCTGAAGCCAAATATGCAGGATGACCTAAATGTAAACACTCAGTCTTGAATGGGAAAAGTCTGGTCAAAGCTTTAACAATGATAGAAAAGTTGATATGCAAGGTTTACCTGTACATGCTACATTTTTTTCTGAGACATTTATCTATATGAAACACAAGCAAATTAAAATTTTACCTCTACAGCTTCCCAGGCCCATTTCCTGTACTTTGGATCATGAGTCAGTCGCCACATGTACATGTAAGTCTCCACAACCTCTGGCCGTAGGATGTAGTATTTTTCATTTTGCCTTGTAGCAATGGCCTCAACACCACCGTCGAATCTGAAAGCTTCTGGTCCCAGTTTCACAACTAAAGAATACGGGATGGGTAACAAAGGTTATTGTCCTGAATAATGCTTAGTGTCTAGAACTTAACTGAAACTAGAAAGCACTTTACAATAGTCAAGAACAATGCCATATCACTTTAATAGTTATAAACATTATATCTATCATATCTATAATATATAAAAGGCTAAGCCACTGTCCGACCAGTAGCTATGATGCACACTGAGCACCAGGGGGCAGATGCTCAAAGCAGGAGCTGCCAAGCTGCTGTGACTTGGCAGTGGCGGTTTTCGGGTGACTCATCTGGAACCAGAGAGGCAGGAGCCTGATTTTGGGGTGCGTCACCTGAGAATCACCCTTTTGTAATCTTGAACCCCTCGAGGGATGTCAGAGAGCAGATTTTGGTCTGATCTGCAGATGGCACCTGCCCAAGGGACACCCCCCCCCCCCCCCCCCCTGCGCACTTCACAGTCGACCTTTGAGCTGTGGTATCACCCCAGGTGTAGCCGGCTGGGGAGGGATTGCGGGAGGTTTGCTCCAAAATGTGCCCAGCCCATTTTGCCCAGTCCCTCCCCACCGGCCACTTCTAATTAATTTCCTTTCAATGTGCATGAGGCACTAGTAGTAAATAATACTCAATATACATTTTTGTTGTTGTTAATTCTCCCGAAGATATTTTTCCATTGGTTTTTGGAGAGAGTGGAAGGGAGGAAGGAAGAGGGGCAGGGAGAAGCAAAAGAAAGAGAAACATTGATATGAGAGAGACACATCAATTGGTTGCCTCCCGCCCATGCCCCAACTGGGGTGGGGGATTGAACTTGCAACCCAGGTATGTGCCCATCACTGGGAATAGAACTCATGACCCTTTGATTTGAGGGCTGATAATCTAATCACTGCTAATCTAACACTGGCCAAGGCTATTTCATATACTTTAAAATTCAGTCATCTAAGGTTAATGATTCTATATTTTCTTCCATTTAACCAACAGTTATTGAGCACCCAGTGGTTAAGGTGGCAAGGTCCCAGGAGATACCTTATAAGCTAGCTAGAAAATCAGTGGTGTGGATTCTAAGTCATTATGTCATGAGAGGTTATTTAATCTTTGTGCTCCAAACCCTATTTTATAAGGAGGGAGTCAAAGTCAAAATCTCATTCTGGAAAGATTAACGATAATTTACAAAAATATATTACATCTCTTTAGCAGTGAGACAGAAATTCTCATTCAATGTTATTTACCTAAAGCAAGGCCAGTAAATTAGTCTGGCCTAATGTTTTATGGCCTGGATTTCCATTTCTTGGCAAGCTAAGAGTAAATATTTTTATGTAGCAAAGCAGTTATCTTTTAAGCTGAAAACACACATGCCTTTAACACATTAATCATGATTATCAGGTTTCATCAGGCACAGCAGCTATTCTTTTGAGGACAACAATGACCAAGTCCCTTACTGAACGAGATAAGAGCACGTGGCAATAGACTGCAGATGAAGAAGAACATGCACTCACATGTGCGGTTGTAGGATTCATGGCAGGTACGGGCAATCTCAGCTCCGAGCTGAAGGTAGTGCTGGGTCAGGCCCTCCGGGGCATCGTCTGCCCCCAGGGCAAACATGCCCCCGGCAAAGCAGGTCAGGTGGCCCATCTTGTGCTCCAGGAGGCCGCCTTTCCACTCGGCGATGTACGTCAGCCCCCTGCTGGACTTGCGGATCAAGTGAGTCTCGATTGCCTGAAAATAACACTTATTTTCAGCATTTGCAATCTCTTCTCAAATTTATACTAAACCAGGTATCCCTTTCCCCACCTTCCCAATTACTTCATAGAGGAACTAGGGCTGTGACAGTGTCTGTACCTTTTATGCTATCATAAAAAAGAATGGTTTTTAGGAAGCACGTTTGGGAATAGTAGACACGGATAAAACTTGTCATAGAGAAGAATAAATAAAAATGAATACACATGCAGATAAAACTTTTCCCTACCTTTATTCTAAGCAAACAAATGAAATCAAGATGATAATGAATAAATAAACATACTACTGTGCTCATTTACTGTGGTTAAGCGAATTTTATTGATGACCCAGTTATTACATTAATATTTCATTCTTATTTGATGCAACTGAACATCTTAGCTATTTACACGTCTCAGAGCACAAATTACAATAAAGTCGTTTAAGCAGATACCTGTTCATCAGCCAAGAAATGATTCTTCCTACATAGCAAGAACAATAGCTTTTGAGCATGGATTAGGGAAACATTATCATCCTGTTACGGACCCTGCATAAAGCACTATATTATTTTTGTCATGATTCTGACCAAATAGCTGCTTTTTAATATAATAGTTCCAAGGCCTCCAAAGCAATGTTTGTATGGCAACTGGCAAATGTAAGTTAATACAGAGGATGGAAAAGTAGCTCTAAAAAATGTTAAGTTACCCTCACTGGTTTAGCTCAGTGGATAGAGTGTCGACCTGGGGACTGAAAGGTCCCAGGTTCGATTCCAGTCAAGGGCAATGTACCTTGGTTGCGGGCACATCCCCAGTGGGTGGTGTGCAGGAGGCAGCTGATCAATATTTCTCACTCTCTATCCCTCTTCCTTCCTCTCTAAAAAGTCAATAAAATATATTTTAAAAAATGTTGTGTTAAGTGCATAGATAATTGTTTAGGAAAAAATAGTATTGTATATTTTGTGATTTTTATCCTTCTATATTAGAAAAAAAAATTAGTTTGAGGAAGTCTGTAGAATCCTGATTGTCTAATATATCATCTGCCCAGGTACCGTTCACTCCATTGGCCCTGTGACTGGGTGAGCATCTCTCACTGTGATTCTTAGCATGGTCTCCAGAGAAGGCCATGACAGCCAATTAGAAGTCCATGGTATTTTATTATTAAACATCCTTAAAGGAAACCCCCCAAACCATACCACTCTTGCATTAGACACTTTCTAAAACCCACTTGCAGCTAAAACGGATGAACTGTATCTCTAGCAATTCAACTGTACAGAACAATAATATAAGGTACCCTCTCTGTGATAATAATGATCTATCTCTGTAGGTACAACTAGACAAAGAAACTCTGCCGTGTAAGACATGGCTACTTGTCAAAATCAGAAGTGTCAGTGTTCTAGCTGTGCTTTCTGAGTTGAAAACACAATGGATTGAAAGTGTTTTTACTATTAAGAGAAACAAGAAACACGTTGACTTCAATTGTTCTTAATGGATTTTCCTGTCAATGATCTGTCTAAATACAATGTGTTGAAAGCTGTGTGGATATAGTTCTAGAAACTGAGGGAAAATTACTTCAAAGAATATTTTAAAGTTGCTTTTCTGGGAACAGCAGGTTTTCGGGATGAGAATAATTAGAATGTCTGCCAGGATAGTAATTAAAAAGTGACATAAAGGAAACCACACTGTATGGAGAGGAACGCGCTAGGTTAAAACCTAAACCCCAGAGGAACGAAGAAAAAGAAACCTGGAAGAGTAAGTAGGCTTTTGATGTCCATCCTGTGCCTGAATAGAGGCTGTGCTAAATGCAGGCCGGGGTCCTAGCTGAGGGGTTTTAGTTCTCAGATGTGAAATAGCAGAGTAGTGTGGGGACCAATGTGGCATTTAATCTGGTCAATCAGAGCAAAGCAAGTTGCATTTATAGTCAAATGAATAAATCAGTCTCTAGCAAAACCACCCAGACCTCTTCTGAGGAAGACCAGTTTTAGAACAATGGCTAATGTTTGAAATACCAAATTTCCATTTTTTTCCTCCCTCCTCTACTATAAATTATTTAAAAAAAAATTACTATTCTAGATTTAAAAAAAATTCTAAGCAGTCAATTTTTTGATGGTTTCACCATAATTTTACATTATTTGAGATGCCTGAATAATAATTAATATAAAAATATGTTACCATATAAACTACTTTTAATAATCAGAAGCATACTTGATTCTGCTACAAAATTTGTTTCTGAAAAGCTGGGTACAAGTTCAGGTACCTTATATAAAATAATTTTTTTTTTTTTTTTTTACTTTCAAATTTTATTTTCATTTTTGACTGAGGTTTAGTTTACTCTCACACTGGCCACTTCCTAAAGACTTTGCTAAGCAGTTTCTGACTTACCTCATTAACTTACTGCCCATAAAGAAATATATACATGAGTACAGAAGTCCTATTCACAAATAAACCCATAGGGGTGAGGTGTTGACACAAATTTTAATCTGAATTTTTATTTCACACTCAACCTGACATTCAGTTGTCTTGTCTGTAATACAACTGTAATGCAATCTGTAACACAAGGTGAATAACATCTAAACTGTGAGGAAATAAACTAAAACTTTAGAGTATCTACTTAACACTTCTTAGCACACAGTCCGAAATTCAACAAGGGTTTGTTCCCTCTCATTCTTCCTCCATTTTAAAGGACCACTGAAAACTGTCAATAAATATTAAGGTGACTTCAGATTTTTATTTGAGAGTACTGTCCATGTATCTCTGGAGATAAGTTTATTTCAAATGTATAGGCAGGCCATTTTAACTTAGTCAATTTTCAGAATATAAATTCAGGATTTTTTCCTCTCCATAATTGTAATGGACTCTAAGCACAAAAATATCCCCTTTTTTTTTTTTTTTAGATATGCAAATCTTTTCCTTTCAGATATGTAAATCTGCACCGAGGTTTGAATTATGTAAAAAACGTAATTGCCCTCTGAGAACTGCATACATGTATGCAGTATGACTATTGTTATAGTTACGTTAGCAGATAGTTTACTCTTTCTCACTGGAAATAATTTGTAACTCACTTATGTAGTATTCCATTTTTCCCCCCCATTAAAGCTTGATTGAATAAGTAAGTTACAACTCAAAGCTGAGTGGCAAAGATGATTTAACTATTGGGTTTACCTGAACAGCATCAAAATACATCTGCTTAGCTTCCAGATCTGTCTTGTCAGACATTAACCATGCCTTTAGCAAATATTCATAAAAGCTGTCTCCGAGTCCTCCAACTGATACATGATCTGCAAAGGAGGGAAATGGATTTTAGAGTGATTCAGCCTTTAAGTCAGATAATGCAGCAAAATTACGTTAGCAACGAGGATGCGAAACCCTACGTCAACTGCAACTCGGGGTTGCATTGAAATTCCAACAAACCTCTTGTTTTCAGAAAGACATTCTGAAATGAGCAGATGTGCTATTAACTAATGCGATATACTCTAAATAATTACCAGGGTAATTTTGTAAGCAGGAAAATTAAAAAAAAAAAAAAAACAACCATATATACACTCTCCCCCCCGACTAATTCCAAAAATCTGGTTCTCTAGTAAACATACCAAATGGAAATGTTTCACAGTATAAATTCTAATAAATATTTAATTGTTTAGCTCAATAACATAAACCATGGCAAAGCTATGAGTATTAGCAAATCTTTTAAAAACGTGGCTTGTTGCCTAAACCGGATTGGCTCAGTGGATAGAGCGTCGATCTGCGGATTGAAGGGTCCCGGGTTCGATTCAGGTCAAGGGCATGTACCTTGGTTGCTGGCACATCCCCAGTAGGGGGTAGGCAGGAGGCAGCTGATTAATGTTTCTCTCTCATCGATGTTTCTAACTCTCTATCCCTTTCCTTTCCTCTCTGTAAAAAATCAATAAAATATATTAAAAAAAATAAAAATGTGTGGCTTGCAATAAAATAAGAAAGGTCAAAAACATTGGGTGAGGTGGTAAGAAAGAAGATAGTGGCAGGAACTTTTCTTCCTTACACATCATTCCTGCAATCCTCTGATGCTATTTATTATGCCAGACCCACCACATACGGGACCAACAATCCTGCACCTTGTAGGGTAGATACCCTCATTAACAATGAGAAACCTGAGCCTCACAGATGCTGAGATTACAGCCTTCTGGTTTGTGCCATCTGATTCGACTCATTCAGAGGCTGGCATGTGGGCCTGCCTGCTCTTCACCAAATAACATGACATGGGCTCCTTTGCCCTTTATACTCTTGTTTTTCAAGCATGTGTAGCTACAAAGACAGATGCCCTCTACAGAACTCACAGAGAACACGAGCATTAACAAGATACACTTATTTTGGAAAATGGCACCCAGTGGCTACTCAGTAAACAACTGAACAGAGCAAAAATTCTAAGCCAATAAGGACTACGTCCATTCAGGCTGGAAGGGCTATCTTTGTGAAGTGGTTAAATATGGATTTTATTGGAAAAGCCCAGAATAATAGTTTTAATTTTAATGTAAAAGAGTGGTTTTTGCAATTGTAGAGCTGGTTCTTAAAATAGCAATGTTTGAAGTGACCTTTACCGTTTCCTAAGTAAATCACCACAGAAACCTCTGACATTTAAAGATTAAATAGACGAAGACCTATCTCATCAATAACGAGCCCTGTTGATACAAACATGATTGCAGGAGACAAATGCAAGTGGGGCATGGCCAGGCGGGTCACTGCCCGGCTCCTGCCAGCACAACGAGGCCTGAAGGAGATAATGGGAAATGATGGCCGTGATCCAGACAGGCCCTCGGAGTTAAAGCGATGAGACCTGAAAGCCAGCCGCCAGAAGCATGCTCTGGGCTCCCCTCCCCCCACTGCTCCTTGGTTTATGGTTCCATAATAGATGCAAGAAGCCATTTTGGGCATGTGGTGATTTTTAAAAAAGGAAAAAGGGATTACATAGTGTTACATGTATTTTAACTATTTTATTTTTCATTTATTTATTTTTTAAGCAAATGCTAGTTAATTTTTTATTTTATTTTATCTTTTTTACTATTTTTAATTTCCTGCTTATAAAATTTTCATGTTAGGAAAGAATAAAAATAAAGGCACATGGAGGAGAAACAAGAGAGAAAGCCCTTGGAGATTTCAGCATCTCACTCACTAAGCTTCCTCTGGTTTGGAGGACTGTTTGTGTTGGCAACAGGGCCCGTGTAAATATCTTCATGGTGGAGGAGAGAGCACGCTGGAGTTGGCCAGCAGGAAGGGGCCGCCTATTGCTAGAAAGAACATATGTCGTGTTTTTACTCCCAAATGTTCTAAAGGTAATGAGTACTATTGTCACTCATTATTATATTCTTCTCCAAAGGGGGTGATGTATCCTTTTCTCCCCAATAGAAAAAGTTCCCATAAAAGGATTCCTAATATTACAAAAGAGAGAAAAAATAGCAAAAGAAGACAGAAAGAATACTCAGTAGCCTCATTTAAAAAAATTTTTTTTGGAGACTTTATCTGAACCTGAATTCCTCAGAGCAATTCCCCCGTGATGCTAGTGGCACTATATGTACATTAGTGGTGTTATAGTATTGAAAGAAGGGTGATGATTATTGCTTATTGACATGGAGCCCCACATCTGGTCTCAACAGCCACTGGATCTCTTTCCATGACTAATGACCAGGGCCAGATGCTGCTTCTTAGACAGCTGAAGAACATGGGAAACTGTTCCAAGAGGATAAATAGAACCGCTATTAAGAGCAGAGGCAGAGAGAGAGCCAGGTTGCATACAGAGGGCGTGAATGTCCACAAAATTCAAGTTAAGTGAACACCTACTAGGTGCAAGATATCGTGAGTTGGGTTAACAAATACGACTAAGACAAAGTCAAAGCCCTCAAAAGTCTGGGTCCCTAGGTGGAGGCTAAGTAAATGAATCACTAGGAAAAGGACTGTAACTGGGAAGTACAGGTTGGGACGAGGAGGAAGTGTTGGGATGAGGAGGAAGAAGGGGGTGCATAGAGGGGGAATGGGTGCTGACAAATTCCAACAGGAGTCTTGAACAAGAAGGTCTCCCAGAAGAAATGGCATTGGAGCTGGGCCTTGGTAGAATGAGAAAGAAACAGAACAGGCACAAATCTGGGCACGGCCAAGCAGGCTTGATTAAAGAATAAAAACATAAGCCTTCCTTGTGGTTGGAGCCCAGGAGAGGGTGGAAGAGGAGAGACAGGGGACTCATTGGCCCGGTTTGTTTTTCCACCAGGAAACTGACCCATAAGCAGTCCACATATAAAGGCTCTTTGTACCAGGAAACATGGCCACATAGATAGTATTTGTGACCCGGAAGGTGAAGCCAGGATGTACCAGTACAACGGACTCTTTTGTCCCTTCCCATAGTGACTCCTAAACTCGAAGTCACAGGGAAAATAAAACAGTAAACCCTCAGACTTTTCTTCAACTTTTGAACTTCCATGAGGAGAACTCCAAAACCCTGGCCTTTTAGAGAACCACATCTGGCCATTTCGTCCTTAGAAAGCTACTCCAGTTCTGCTTTATCCCAAAAACTCCAGTGGCTTTCAAACTTTTTTTTTTTTATAGTCTTAACACTCCTTTACCCTTTTTAAAAAAATCCTCACCTGAAGATATTTTCCCATTGCTTTCAGATAGAGTGGGGGGAGTCTGGGGAGGAGATAGAAGCATCGATGTGAGAGAGATACATTTATTGATTGCCTCGTTCTAGCACCCCTACAAGGTCAGGACAGAGCCTGCAACCGGGGTACGTGTCCTTGACATGGAATCGAACCCACCACCCTTTGGTATATGAGCAGAAGCTCCAACCACTGAGCAAAACTGGCCAGGGCATCCCCTACACTTTCAAAAATGAATACACACTCCAGAAAACTTGTTTCTGTAATACTATCAATATTTACAATATTGGAAATTAAAACAGAATTTAATATATTTTCTTAATATATTTAAAACAATAATAATATACCCCACATAACACCTTTTTTCATAAAAATGTTATATTTTTACAAAAAAGTAATTAGTGAGAAGAGTGACACTATTTCATATTTTTGTAAATCGCTTTGATGTTTCCTGTTCTAGAACACAGGTGGATTTTCATATCTGCTCTACATTCCACCTATACTATATGTTGTCCTGGCTGAAGCAGATGAAGAAAACCCGTCTCATAGTTATACAGCTGCAAAGGGAAGAACATTTAAGTCTTTTCAGATTATGGTGGATATTTTTCTCTGATACTACAACAAAACATGACCAGTGTTTTAAAAGTTGCAATGTATAGAATTAGAAACCATATCAATGCATTTTTGTGCTGTTGCATTAAAATCCATCGGTCTCCTTTGAACGGATCTTTTACATGATTTTTGTAAAAGCATGCATTGGTCATTCGGAAAATACTGCTCACTCGAATTGCTCTGATCTTCCAAATGTTGACACATTTCACTATACATTTGTTAATATCACCACCAAGCTCATCAGAACAGTCTCCCAGCGCGGCTTACAGGCAATGAGTTCATTCCTGGTGGTGTAGACACGTTTCCAGAGATTCTAGTTTTCATGCAGAGCTCAAACTTTATCATCGGGACAGACACTGCCAGTTTTCCTTCAGCGCACAGGCTCATTTTCAAGAACACCTCTACTAATGGCCCCACTCGGAAAAACCAGTCTGTCTTCAGCTGTTCTTTCAAGTAGAACGGGTGACTGAAACAGTAAGTTCAGCTCAGGACTCAGGATCACACAAGTGCTGTTCTGTGAGGCAACCGCTGTTCTTTATTAAGCAGCAGAAGTGCTTTAAGTGTACTTTGGATTTAATCACACGGAATATTACAAAGATGGGTATTCAATGGCTGAGATGTACTAGAATCAATAATTTATTTTTGCTTCATTATGAACATTCCTAAGTGAAACTGGCTTTTTTTTCCCCCTCCCTTCTTTTTATTCAAACCCGCTGTGAAAATTTAAAATGTGACGACTGGGCGAAACCAGTTTGGCTCAGTGGATAGATCGTCGGCCGGCCTGCGGACTGAAAGGTCCCAGGTTCGATTTCGGTCAGGGGCATGTACCTTGGTTGCGGGCACATCCCTGATAGGAGGTGTGCAAGAGGCAGCTGATCGATGATTCTCTCTCATCAATGTTTCTAACTATCTACCCCTCTCTCTTTCTCTCTGTATAAAAATCAATAAAATATATTTAAAAAAAAATAAAATGTGACGACTGTTTGAAGCCTCGGCTATGGTTCTCACTTTAGCAGTTTTGCCCCTCAGTAGTTTTGCAACCTCGGTGCAAATGCCAGCGCTGTGGCAGAAAGCCTCAGTGTTATTATAAAAACACCTTTGACCTTGTGGACTCTCTGAAAGGTCTCAGGGATGCCCCGTGATTGGTGGACCACGCAGAGGTTATGTGGCAACCTTGGTTATGGCTTTATGATCTCAAAAGCTAGGCCTTCCCAAGCCATTACTAACACGCATAGATTTTAGCATTTTTTTTTCCTACTAAGTTATTCTAAAGCAGCAGTGAGGCGCAGCCATCTAAGGATATATGGCATTTAAATATAATGAAACAACTCAAATGAGAGTCAATTGTAAGGCATTCGAACACACTCGGCACAGCTAGGCGTCTCACTTAGTATTCTTCACCGGCTCTCAGCTGCTGCTTCATCTACCACTGTTTTTCCAAAGCAGCTTGAGGACATTTCTCTCAGCGACTCTGAATCATTACACCGCTGGTCAAAGTCTGCCAGGATCTCCAGTGAGGGCTTCTGGCACAATTCTTTCTCTTACTCTAAGGAGAACTCGACCGGCAAGAAACGGTTACCTGCTGGCTTAAAATTAAGCAGAAAAAATACGCCGTTTGCTCTTTCAATTTCCCAACCCTTAAAGACTCAGGCTTCCTCTCTCATCTTGTAGTCAAGCAGAAAGGAACTGTTATGAAGTGGAATGATCTAGTTACTCTATAGAAAATCCTGATGACAGTCATTAAAACTAAGGGACAATTTCCCCGCCCCCTCACCTGCAGGTTTAGTTTGTTACAGGCTAACATTCCCCCACTCCCCTGGCTAGACCTTCCCTTTCTGATCAATAGCTTTAAATGTGCTTATATGTCATCATGCTCACAGTTCCGCATGAAAAGCAAAACACTCTAGTTTCCAGGTAACACTTACGGTCTGTCTAGTGACAGAAGCCTATTTATTAAAGGGACCAGGTCTTCTTTCTCCTTTTCTAAACAATCTCCACAAATACTGTGCTTTATTCTGCTATCTCTCTCTGTTACCAGGATGGTGCTGGGTACCGTAAAGAGCTAAAACAATGCTAATTTTTTTTTTTTCATTGTTGTTCATCCTCACCCAAGGATACTCTTTCCATTCATTTTTAGAGAGAGTGGAGGGGAGGGAGGGGACGTGAGGGAGAGAGACATCAGTATGAGAGACACATTGATTGTTTCCTCTCACACTCTCCCTGAATGGGCCGAGATGTAACCTGCAACCCAGGTATGGCCCTTAACCGGGAACCAAACCCGAGACCCTTGTTTGCGTGGGCCAACACTCTAACCAGAGACACACCCACCAGGACAAACAATGATAATATTTTGACTTACATTGACCCCACTGTCCACTACTGGGATTCAGATAGTTAGGATAAAGGCCTTGTGGTTTAACCAGTTTGTTCAGTACTGTTCGGATATTCATTACCTACAAAATAGAAAATAAAATGTTACTAGGAAAATTCAAAAAACAATTTTGGTGTCATTCTTCTCTCTTTCTTGATGATAGTTTTCCATATTAGAAAAAAAAAAAGTTGATTTAAATAGTGCAGGATTAGAACAAAGTTAATCGCTAGCAGCTTACAAAAATAACAGGCAGTAAGGAACACAGTCACACTGATCTGTTGTATCCCAGACGCTGTCCAAGGAACTAGTGACATTTCAGTGGATAAGCAAAGTCCATGCCAGTGGGATGAGAAAGACATCGCATAAAAAAGCATCCCATCTGCAATGTGAGGTCTATGACCCGCCGTGATAAGTGCCATGGAAAACAGACAGGCCAGTAATAGGACAGAAGGCTGTGGAGCGGTGAGGCTGTTACACAGGGTGAGCTGGGGAGGCTGATGGAAGAGTACCGGAGCAGCCACTTTAAGAAACAAAGGAGCAAGCCATGCAGAAATTGGAGGGAGAGCGACCTGGGCAAAGGGCAAAGGCCATGAACAGAGAGTGGGTTGGGAGGACAGGAAGCAAAAGGGAGATGCAGGCCTTGCAGGCCCCGAGGGCTGATGTTATGCTGGGGGTGATGACTGAAGACGTGTGTGAGTGTGTGTGTATGTGTGTGTGTGTGTGTGTAACCGGTTTGACTGGGGTGCCAGAGAGTGCGTGGCTGTGAGTGGAGCAGAGAAGTGGGTTGAAAGCTAAGGGCAGCATGGTGGGGTGAAAATGGATTTATTCAAATATCGCTGTTTGCTTCTTAAAAATTAGAAATTAATTCAATAGCTACTTTGCATTCATATAACACTTTGAGTTTAAAAAGTTTTTCATATGCCTGGTTCATATAGTCCATACAACTTTACATATTTTTAGTAAGAAAAAGAGTTCTGAGAAAGTGACGTGGTTGAGAGGTAGGGAATCATGCTGAGCTGGAATCATGCTGTGGGAAGACGGGGAGCTCACAGTTGGTTAAAGGAAAGGCGCATGTGACAAAACTTCACGAAAGGCTGCTATATTAAATGTGGTTGTTCTCTTCCACATCCAACATTATTAGGCCTCTCAGCAGAGGACACTGTTTCTCACAATTGATGAGAATCTCACCTTTTCAGCAAAGACGGGGTCTCCTGACAATTGGCTTAGGTGCATGAATTCCAAATGCAGGGTCCCAAATTCGGCCAGAATGCTGCTGCCACCCGAGGCCCAGGGCCAGTTCCTTCCAATCCCACTAAAGAGGAGAACAGATGGAAGAGTTATGGGTCAGACTAATTCCATTTTTTTCCACCGGCTCTACACAGAAGAAGGGAAAGGTTCAGCTTTTGAAGAATGGCTCCTTAGCTCCCAGTCCACTCTGGATATTTGAAAGCATTGTTGTCTTTGACTGGGTACCAGTCTCAGGCTTTCACTTCTATTTCCAAATTGAAAATCGGTGTTGACTTAAGTCACAGAGAAGCTGCTATGTGCTTGCTGGCGGTGATGAACAGATAAATATTTTGGAAGGTACATGTGCCACATAGAGATGTATACCCGTTCCAAGTAGAATGTTAAACAGAATCATATCAAAACATCCCTACTGTGTTCAAATCCGACCTACAGCACTTCAACATTTTAATTAATTTCAGCCTGAGATTCCATGGACTGCTGTAGACATTCACATGATATACAGTTTTTTCTTGGGTATTGGATAACTTTCAAAGATTCATTAGTAATCCACTGACACCATACCCTCTCCAAACCTTCCATTTACTGAACTTCCTTTCCTATGTTTCTCTTCACACTTTTTTTTTTTTTTACCTATATCCGAAGTACATTTTCTAAGGATTTACTCATTCCCTGACATATTTAATCTATGCCTAAAAATGTCAGCAAATTCATGTAATTCAAATTTAAAATGGGTCAAAGGCAGGAGCTTCAAAAATTATTGCCTCTCATCTTGGAAAAATGCTCTTTAAATGTGTAAGTCCTAAATACACACACACACACACACACACACACACACACACACACTACTGAAACATGATCATACTCTTGGGTACAGTTTATTTCTGAAAAGCCACTTAAACTGTCAAGGGATAGGTAATAATTCAAATAAAGAATAAAGTCATGATTCTCCCGACCAGTCAATTCCCTCGCAGAAATTTGAAAACCCACATGTTGGTTTTAGCTCAGATGCATATTTACTAAATGCCAACTATTTGCCACGGACTATGCCTGATACTGGGTTGTAAGATGGTTATGATGAATAAATCATTCTTTTCTCAAAGACCTTATAGTATAACGGGAGAGAAAGATCTAAGCATGAATAATTCCAGCTGACTGCGGTAAGTGCCAAGGTAAATGTGTGTAGAGTTCCCTGGGCACCTACAGCCAGGACATGAGACCCAACACAGTGAGGATCACAAAAGGCTTCTTCCAGGAGGGGGGTCCTGAGTTGATTCTTGAAGGATAAATAAGAAGCCGAGAGGAAGGAATGGAGAGAGGGAGAATGTGGACATGGAGACACACAGCAGAAGGGCTGGCTGGAAGCGGGAGGCTGCTTCAGTGCCTGTGAGTGGAGCACAGGAAAGCCAGCAGGAGAGAAGGCTATGGGTTCCACTGAGGCCACGTGTGAGTCTGGTGGGAGTCTCACTTTCCTTTCTTCCCAGGTTGGACCCAGTTAAATACAGTTCCTGGTGTCCCCTACATTTGCTAACCCCTCTGCCTTTTCCTTCTGTTTTCACAGCTCTGTGCAAAGCCTTCCAGCCAGGTGTCCTGCTGCAGGGCTGCCAAGGAAGGCTGAGGAAAAGGAAAGCAACGTGGACAGCTGATACGTGACTTCTAAGCTGGCTTCACTCTGACTCCTGATTTCTTTGTAGAGCAAGATCTAGACTTTGTTCCAAAACACTGACTTACAGTACATCTCATAAAAAGTAAGCAAAAGAGGCCCTTGCTGGTTTGGCTCGGTGGATAGAACATTGGCCTGCAGACCGAAGGGTTCCAGGTTCAGTTCTGGTCAGGGCCCATGCCCAGGTTGCAAGCTCAATCCATAGTAGGGGTTGTGCAGGAGGCAGCCAATCAATGATCTCTCTCATCATTGATGTTTCTAGCTCTCTTTCTCTCTCCCTTCCTCTCTAAAATCAGTTAAAAAATATTTTTTAAAAAGTAAGCAGATTAGAAAATCAGATATTCATTTATTTTGGAAATGCCTGATATTTATTAAGTTCTGAGAACATGAGTCAGTAATTATTTTCATGGTTGACTTACACAGAAAGAATATCTAACCATCCAGATAGGAGGAACAGCTACATTAAGGTTTTATTAACATATGGCAAAATGCACATGGTAATTGGTCATTAATATGTTTTCATGACATTATTTTTTATAGCCCAACCATTCTATCACTGACCAAAGTCAATGAACACTTTGAGCAAAATTACGAATTTCTAGGTTCTAGAGAAACTATTAAGCCCAACGCTGCCATGTATGGCGGTGCCAGGAGGGGAGGGCAGGATGACCTCATTTTGGAGAGGGCAGAGGACAGCGTGCTGAGGAAGCCAGCCCACTCCCAGGTCTCCTGGACTGGTACAGGGTAGGAGAGCGTGTGGTAGCACCCTCAGATGGAAAATGTACGCAGTACATACACACTAAACTGCAATGCAAATTACTTTTGTATCCAGACATTTGCTCGCAGCTATTAACATGGTAAGGCAAGAGAGAAAACGAGAGATATAATGAAAACTTTAATATGTTTTTAAGCAAATAAGATTAAAAAGGATTTTACCTATAACCCCTCTCCTTCTTTGCACACATTCATATCAAAGGCAAACAGCACTCTTTTCTATCACTGTTTAATTACATAGGGGCAAGAACATCAAAAGCACGGAAAAGGCTATCTCATGATAGCAGAAAGGATGCTGAGTATAGAGTACATATGATGTTATATGAAAGGATGGCTTAGGTTACCACTTTTTCAACCTACAGAATTAATGCATTTCAGTAAAATTGTAAGATCAGCAGTTGCATTGGTCAAGGAAGGGTTTCAAGAAGTCAGAGGAAGCATCATTATATTTAGATATTAAATAAGGCCACTTGCCCTGTCTTAGGCAAAAGTTTAAAGACTCAGAGGTTGGCTCGGGGCATAGACTGTGGGGCCATCCCAGCTAAAATGCGCGTGCGTGTCAGGGCAAATGGCGCGTGTGCATGTCAGGGAAATGATTCTGGCTTGCACAGCACCTGAGCAATGAGTGAGAACCAAGTTCTAGTTACTCTCGGAGTGAGTCCTAGGATCTTTTTTATCTTTAAATTCTACGATTTTTTTATCTTTAAATTCTACGACTCTACTCTATGTACTTGTATGGCTCTAATATCTAAAGTGACCTATATGGACAGTGGGCATTTGACGCCAAAATGGTGGAGCTGAGACAAAGGGAATTGAATACACAGAGAGTCTTGCTACTCTGGTCTGGCAGTCAGGGTGCACTGGGCACAGCATGATACAAAAGGCTAAGCTTTCTAGGCCTCTGGCTCCAAATGAATCTCATCGGAAGGAATAGGGGATTTAAAATGTCTTGGACTTGACTCAGTGTGGTGAATACACAATAAAACGTACAGACGATGTGTTACAGAGGTGTACAGATGAGAGACGATGTGTTACAGAGGTGTACAGATGAAACCTATATAATTTTATTAAGCAATGTCACCCCAATACATTCAATTAAAAATGTCTTTAACCGCAGTTCCATCATCACAGTGTTTTAAAGGCAGTCCTGGTGTTCTTTAACTATTTTGTCTTTATTTTACCAACACGAATACTATTTAAAAAATACTTTAAAGATAAAGTAACAGTTTGTGTTCAGAAACTATTAGTCCCACAAGGCAGGCATGAAAGAAAAGAGTATTTTATTAATATTCCAAGTGGGGTTACAATGACTGCATTTTAAGCCAAAACCATGAGTCAGCATATGGAAATGTATACACAAAAAGGCAATTAGCATGGTCTGGGGAGCTGCCAAGTGTTTGTTTTGGTTCAAGGAATCCTGGAACAGAACTTCAGACTTTTGTGTCATTCTAATTTCATTTCTTTTTGTTTCCTCCAATCTCCAGTTTTCCCATTTAATTTGGAGTGTCATTTTAATAAGCAGTTGACACTTCAACAACATGGGTTTGAACTGCAGGGATCCACTTATATTCAGATTTTTTTTTCAACAAATACTGTAAATGTATGTTCTCTTCCTAATGATTTCCCACTAATAACATTTTAACTGATTTTATTGTAAGAATACAGTACATAATACATAGAAGATATAAAATGTGTTCATCGACTGTCTATGTTATCCATAGAGCTTCCAGTCCATAGTGTAGGCTATTAGTAATTAAGGTTTTAGGGAGTCAAAAGTTTCATGTGGATTTTCAACTGCAAACGTGGTTGGCATGCCTAACCTCCACATTGTTCAAGGTCAAACATATATGTGTCAAGTTTTCATTTAATTTTAATTTCCAGTAGTCTACAAAGGTAATAGTTCTTTGAAAACAAATCATCAAAACAAAAAATTACTGATTTTGGAAACTACAATGTCTTCAAAAATGGAATAACTATGAATCTTTTGAAAATGTGGAATACCATTTTATTCTTTGGAGACTTCATTTGAATGTAGTTTATTAGCAGTGGCAATATACTGCGCTAAAAACAAAAAGGTATAATTATTTACTGACCTCACAGCTTGGTAAGCAGTGGGCATTATGTGTTTTTCCTTCTCTCTCCCAGGAATGGTTAACAGCACCAAAGGGAGGAACTACAGTACTAATGACACTATTCTACTCAAGGCTGAATCCCATGGGAGTGCTGCTAACTCCTTTGCCAAGAGCTCAAATGAGTCAAATAGCCAGAGGGTTGTTCTAAATTGATGGTATATATCTTTCAAAATAATCTTAAATTGAGGTACCTAAAGTTTTGTTACAGGTATTGCCCAGACACAATTTATAACCTTAAATTACTCAGTACAATCGAATATAGCGAAAAAACAAAAATAAAATTTTTACAGAAATGAAACAATTCCAAAAAGACAGATGAATATATAAGCAAAGCATTAAGTAGTTGTAAAGTCTCAATCAGCTCTGACTTTCAGATTCCCCTTTTCTTGCTATTCTATTCGAAATGGGAAATGGGCCAATAAAGATTTTCTTGAGGATTAATGACAATAATTTCTGATTAGCTGAGAAGTAAACAAACTCCCTTCAAGGTCATAGTAC